GGGTCTGGAGCAGTAGGAGGTACGTCCACATTGCTGCTGCCCAAAGCTGGCAGAACAATTGCACGGATAATGTTTTGGTGCGGATCTTACTAATGTATTAGGAACTGTTTCAAACATGGTTCTGTTGTAAATGTGTGTCTCGTCCCTAGATGCAAATTCATCGTTAGGAAGTGTGGCTAGGAGGTACTGGGAAATAGATTGATCCTTACAGATTATTGTATTGTATTTTTAAATCGCAGTTTTCTTTGCTGGCAGCTTGTTTTTTGCTTTGTGCGTTGGTTTTTGGTTTTTTCTGGAGAGAGGCTTTGGTTTTGGCTCCAGAATTTCTTTACAAAGTAGATGTTACAGAAATGACTAAGAGGGACATTCGGGGAAAAGCAAACCTGAAAGTCATCGTGTCTTTTGCTTAGTTCCTCTTTGTATGCTACAGCATTGCTTAGCAACAACAGAAGACTTCCCAGCTTGGTTTTATATCTTTGTGACAGTTTTGAAGTTGTTAGGTTTCCCTGGTACTGGTACCCCAGTGCTGGACTGGAACGGCTCTGCAGTCAGTTAATGCACTGTGGCTAGGTGTAGCGGCTTTTCCTAGGTAAAGGTGGTCACAGGAGCATCTAGATACACAGGAAATGGATTTTAAGACACAGTGCTGAAAGAAAACTTGGCAATGCTTCAGTGAAAATGGGAACCGTCAGATTTTTGGCTGTGGTCTTTGCAAGAAAGCTCAAAGGAAAGTGAGTTGCATCTGTCTTAGCAAAGAGCATCCGCAAAGGGTGATGGCAAACAGGCCTTTGCTGAAAGCTGCAGAGACCTTTAAATGAAACAGAACTGAAGAAATTGCGATTCCAGCATGAGCTGTGGCACAACAGTCGCCAAATCTCATGAGAACACGCTACAGCGAGTTAAACTTTCCAGGCTCTGTCCATCGACACGTTCCCGGTTTGACTGCTGGTAGTTCCTTTTCCCCAGGGGTCCACAGCGGCCACATCAGCAGCTGGTGGCAAGAGCGTGACCGAGTGGGGACGTCGCTGTCATCAGCGAAGAGCTCGGAGGAGCGACATGGCGAGGGGCAGCCTGCGCGCACGGCACGAGCTGTGCTCCGGGGAGGGGATGCTGAACGCCCATCTCTCCCCATGCCGTCATTCCCAGCCACTGCTGTTGGTTTAACCCAGTGGCCTTAGATCTGGTTTAGCACGTTCCAGACAGATTTTCTCTCTGTGTTCTGCAAGTAACCTCCTGCCTCCAAAATCGGCTCTGTTGGAAAGTCGCTTCTCGACATTGGATCCTCTCTGTGCACCAGCATTTGCTTGAATGGTGGCACTTCCTAATCCAAAGGAGCATTTGCAGAAGAGAGTTAAGAGTTTGAGGGCTTTAGAGAAACATTTGCTAGTCAGCTGCAATTCTGTATCTGTTATAAACATGGCTCAGCAGTTTGAGTTTTACTAATCCAGCCTTAAATACAGCCAAAACATGCCATAGTTTTCCTGGGCTTAGGCAGCTTTTCATTGCAGTACCTGACCTGAGAGGACGCTTTTGTTACGCCGGCTGGTATTGGTTTTGCTACCTATATGAAACAGTCCATACAGTTTGCATTTCTTTTTTGTGATTAAGCTGTTGTTAGGTCATTATAATAAATTGAGTGTAGAATTCAACTGACAAACTCCAAGTATGCCACTGTTGGCTAGTGAACTTCCAACTCTGACTAAAGGCTACAGAAATTTTGTGTTCATTATTAAAAGGAGAAAATGGTACTTGCATATAGTAACAGTAATGTATATATCTCAAACAAAAATGGATTACTCTGATAGTGTTTTGGACCTATGGAAATTTTGTCCTAAACACTTGCAATTAATAGATTGTAGCAAACAAACAAAAGTTTATAGCCTGTGTAAGGTCAGTGCTGTGGTGTTAGACTCTGGTTCCAGCCTTGGTGGGGCTTGCGACTGCTGCTTTCCCCTTCTCCCTCCCTCCCCTGCAGAACCCTTCCTCTGAGCCAGAAAAGCGAAGAGGAGACGGGGCTGAATCCTCAGTCCTGAACCAGCCGTCTCGGGTGTAAAACCAGAGGACCCCCCCCCAGCACCCCTGGTTCCAGAACCACCACCCTGCTGCGGGAGCTGGGCCGCAGGCCTGGCCAGCCTGGCCTTGCGCTTGCAGCACTGTCCTGCCCGTACAGACCAACCTCGTTACCCAAGTTTTGCCGGAACTGAAACCTCCACGGAATGTCAGTTCGCTTTTTTTTCGGTTTTGGCTAAGGCTTTGGGATTTTTCACCCCCCAGCACCCCTGGTTCCAGAACAACCACCCTGCTGCGGGAGCTGGGCCGCAGGCCTGGCCAGCCTGGCATTGCGCTTGCAGCACTGTCCTGCCCGTACAGACCAACCTCGTTACCCAAGTTTTGCCGGAACTGAAACCTCCACGGAATGTCAGTTCGCTTTTTTTTCGGTTTTGGCTAAGGCTTTGGGATTTTTCATTTGTTATTGAACCTGTATTTTGCTTCAGGTTCCCATTTTCAGTGCAGATGGGAAGATTTTGATACTGAAATCTGTGATATATTCAGGTGACAACCAGCAGAACTCGCAGCTCAGAGCTGATTTAGTGCATCACAATGGAGCTTTGGCAACCCCAATACAAAACCTGGCCGAGACCCTTTTATTACCACATTGTTGGAAAAGTGAGTGGAAAAAGTATTCTCGTAAATCCTCTCAGGAAAAACAACAACAAAAAAAAATCTGAATTTCAGTGAAACCCAAGG